TGCATGGGAGAGAGTTCAAACGCAAAAGGACATGCAGCTTGATTAGCGCTGAACACTTCCAGTCTCTGAGCAGTGTTTTCAAAATGATGCATGTCCTTGTAAGATAAGAGAAACGTCTTCAAAAGAATATTTGTGGGCTTATAAGCGCTTTACTCTGTGCAGAGAACTTGTAGCTCTCCGCTCTCCGTTGGAAATGCAGAATGACAGCCTGAGAGTTGCTACAGTTTGGAGGAGTTCAATGGAGAAAGCAGCGGAGGTAAAATCATTTGCATGGATCACATCGCCTGCCTTCACCGCTTTCTAGTTCCTCCGAAAGGCACCACTTCAAATTGACTTGCTGCTGCCTTTGCACAGAGCCCCAGGAAGACGTGAAACCAGGAGCGGAGCCTGTCCCAGCACACAGCGGGTGGCACAGGACAGGGTCTGCTCGTCACCAACGAGACTTTATTTGATATTGGCTGAACTGAAGAAGAGGCGTTTGGGGAAGAGAACTCTTGTCTTGTGCCTAGACGAGCAACAGTGCGAAGCATTGCTTTTTATTACACCTGCATCAGCTGGCCTCTAGCAGTGGGAAGAGTTGGTCCTGCTAAAGAATTTACTAAAAACCAGATAGTTGACTTTATTCTTCATGATTAAGTTTAGATTACAGGTCTGTTTCTAACTGATCGGTACAGCTCAGTTCTAAACGATGGGGAGAGTCAACGTTTATGAGCCTGACATGGCAATCACCATAGGAATATCTGGCCTAAACTCTGTGAGATGCCAGAAAGGACAGGATTTGATCATTGCTTCTGGCCTGTAACTTGCACTAGTTTAAGATGACTGAAAATCTTACAGATTTGAAGCCACTTAAAGATTTATAACTCATTTAAGGTGGCATGACATTTCTTCTTGACATCCTCAAAAAGACTCTGTTGAGTTACAATTTTACTTGCTTAGTCTTGGCCTCATGATATGGGAATTTTACACGAAATCACCTGTTATCTCATTTGAAAATATCTAAACCCTCCTGACTACCCTATGTATTAATTCTTCAACACACATTATCTGTGTTATAATTTTCTCTGTCATTCCCCAGCCCTTTGTTAGAAGGCATTTGTTAAGCACTTCATCAGGTAAGGTTTCCTGTATTAACTCTCACAAGTATTTTCACATAAAGGTTGTCACTGTTTAAAACACCTTGGTATAGATCCCTCAAGCAGATACGCTGCTGACTACATTAAACAATCCACATTTAAACCAGCCTGAGCTGTGTTTGCTTCCATTTCAACCACAGCTGCACTTCTGGTGATTTATCCATCGTGAGCTGGCACCAAAAACTTTCAGCTGTGCCAAGGTACCTCCTTGAAAACTTCACAAGCACTTCTTATTACTATTTTCTTCCTTTTTATACTCTTACTTTACCATTGGAAAAAAAAATTCAGAAGAATGTAGAAGTCAGTTACTCCAGAGCCAGGCTATTAAGTCTCATTCTTGCAGCACAAATGTGAGACAAGGCATTAGACCAGGTCTGGAACACGCTCGAGTCAGACAGCTCTTAAGAGGTGGGAAACAAAGACCCACTGTTTTCTTCTGGTGGACTAAACAGTCTACAAGTTCAGTATACGGAATGGTTGACAGTAAAAAAATAAAAAAAACCCAAACCCCAACATTTATCTGAACCACCTTTTTAATGCAATATGTACAGCAAGAGATACATAACAGCATTCAGATTACGACCAGAGCAAGCTGGGAGAAACATTAGAGACACTCAAAAGTGGTTAATAAATGAGGAGGATAACGTTAAATTAAAATCACTGTTGACAATCGGGAGGTAGCGTACAGATAAAGGAGTGATTTTAGTCACTCACATATTTTCCTTGGTCCTAAACCAGTTACAGCCCCTGAGGTACAGACTTGAGCACTACCAAGAATGGGGAAACCTCCTCCCCAGCTCCAGCAGCTACTCAGGATATGCAGAACAGTGCAGAGCAAAACCAAACCAATTAAGTATTAAGATGCCACTTTATGAATCCCTGGAATGCAGCTTTCCACTCTTCCTACCTCACATCAAAAATAAATGAGAAAAAAACAAGCAAACAAAATGCTCGGGGAGGATACTATAAATATTAGAAGAGTGGAGAGCCTTCCATGGGAAGGGAGGGGATTGAGCAGGTCGGTTCTGCACGCTTTAGAGCAGAAAAAATAAGACGAAACAAGGTAGAGAGAGATCAGAGAAAGAAAAGTAATAAATCAAAACACAAAGTACACCCCTGAGCTCGTCTTTTCACTGCAGAAAGGCAACAGATTTAAAATCGAGGACAGGACATACTGTTTGGTGGGTTGGTTTGGTTTTTTTAAATCAAACCAAGTGTTAACATGTGCAACTCCTTGTTACAAGGTTCAATGAGGTCAAGGATGCTAGGAGGATTTAAAAACAATTCAATATTTGCATGAATTATAACAAAATCCTCCAGAGTTACGTTAGAGCAGAATAGCAAGAGCTTTTCTCTTTCTTTTATGCAAACAGCTTATTACACCTCACTGCCTGCGGCTGTTGCAAGAGATTTCCGTACAGGCTGGACTGTCTGTCACCATCCTCCCTGCCCATTTTCCTCCCTTCCATCCAAGCGGTTTGCTTTGGCCATTGTCCCACACACAGTCCTGGACAAGGAAAGTTGATTCATGATCATTTCATAGCTGAAATCCCGGCCTCTAAAACAGAAATGGGAAATCCTCTTCGACAGCACAGTCCCAAAATTCATCACCTGAATTCTGAATACTCACTTCTCTGCTTTGGATAGCCTTCATGCTACCTTCTGCATTCAAAGTTGCTAACACTGCTAAGTTGATTTTAATTATTGTCATTACTCAGCTGTACTAGGAAGCTTTTTTAATATTCCTATTGTATTTTCAACAATGCCTTTACAGAATATTTTTATTATTCCCTGACTCAGCTATTTTGCATACACCTCCCCATTCCAGAAAACCTTCTGGATCTTGTATTATTAGACAAAATAAAACAATGGGTATTTTACAGCAGTTTCACTCTACAGTGATGTGGCATTTATCCAACACTGGCAACACAGAAAGAGAACAGCCGGCCATTCCCACAGGGATGCAAAGCTGGAGCAGAGGTTGGCTGGATGTTTTACAACTTCTCCACCTCAACTTTCAGACAAGTTCAGCTAGTGACCTCTGCATAGCTCTTCTTGGCAGAACAGTCACCAAAATGAAATGAAGCAACCCACAGCCCTGCAAGGGAATTCTCGTCTTTATTTTCCTGATGGTGGATGCCCCATCCCTGGAGGGGTTCAAGGCCAGGCTGGATGAGGCTTTGAGCAACCTGGGCTGGTGGGAGGTGTCCCTGCCCATGGCAGGGGGTTGGAACTTTCCAACCCAAACCATTCTGTGATTTTATGAAACCAGGATTTAGAGACCGAGAAATCACAAGAGCCTTACAAGAAAGACGGCACTGGAGCCAAGGCAGAACCATGGTGCGCTCTGCTCATAAACCATTCATTACTGTGAATTTGAGGTGGCACAAGAGCTGTAAACAAATGGGAAGACAAATTATAAATGGAAAGCGAATTGTTCTTTTTTTTTTTTTGAACCCTACAGAACCACAGACTAAAGCGTGGTTCCCTAATTGAGGACAGTTGCCGTTGAACAGGCACAGGGAATGAAAGTCTGTCGATAGGGCTGGCACTCAGCTGTCACTCTGTACAGCACCATGGGAAAGAACGGGTTCAAGCCACCCTATAAACTGCTGCTACTCTTTCCTATTTTACATTTCAGTGCTCTGCCCAGCTCACTGCCCTGTGGGGAGGTACCGCAGCCCCCCCAGTGCTCCCAGGTCCCCTGGGCACACAGGCTGTCAGAGTGCTCCGGAGGGGAGAGCAGAAGAAAAGCAGCAGAAGCCACATGAAAATACTCTTCCAAATACTGGCACCTGGGCTGTGCACATAAAAGAGAAGCCGTAAATCCAGAAAAAGAGCCACCTATACAGAGAATAGCACCAGGACGCTCTGGACCCTGGCGTGTGTGCAGTTTATGTACGTGCCACGCTGCAATGAGGTGCTGTGACCATATAATTACTTGCTTGTACAAGCACATTTTAGCACATCGAGCCTCTAGCATCAGCATGGATTTCAAAACAAAGAATGATGATGACAGGGCTCTTAGTGCGGTGCCAGCCCACGGTGTAGGAGCACCACAGAGTGCCAGCTCTGCCAGCGGTCTATGGGCTGATATCAGGCAAATCACTATCTAATGCTGGGCCTCAGTTTCCCCATGTGTAAAGGGCAAGGATGGAGCTGACCTGCCTAGAAAGGCACCTGAAAATCTATTTGAGAAACCATCGCTTCTTTTTTTTCCCCATCATTGTTTTAAAACGCATTTTCACTTCACCCAGGTGTTTCATCTTCTCAGAAAAGCCAGCAAGGAAGCAAACTAGCCCCAGAAGTTTTCTTGACACTATGTGAAGAATTAATTGCACTGTGGTTATGTCTATATATATATATAGGCTACTCTATAACGCAGAAAGGTTATCGGTCATCTTTACTGTCCGATAAAAAGGAAAAGAAAAGCATGTATTTTTTGTTAAATTATTGCATTTGGGTCCTTGTTAAAGTTGCTCACGGCTTGCAATAAAGTGCAATGCTCGTTTATAATAGTTATAAAACAATGTTAATATGTGCTGAGGTGAATTTCATGAAAGTCGTCTCTGTAGCTCATAAAAATGATGCTCCGGTGTATTTTACCATCATAGCAAGAAAGGCTTATAAAACAGCTGTGGTGGAAAGTAAATAAAATATAAATGACTCATGTAAGGGAACAGTTTCCCCACTGTGGAGATTTTGGGCACTGTATCACTTTTTATATTATACTGGATTAAGACAATAGCTTTGATCTCAGCAATAAAGGAAGTTGGCCCAGCTCCTTTATTTTTGCTTAACCAAACTGGGATCTTTTGCAATAACTTCAGTGTGACTGCTCAGAAACAAGCCCAACTAAAATAAGTGCTGGATGGAACCTCTCTAGTCTTGGGTCACCTCCATGGCCAGCAACACCGAGGACTAGTTCTGGGGCCCTTGTCCTCTGTCATCACCAGACTCTAAACATATCGAACCAAGATCATAGAATCCCAGGATGGTTTGGGTAGGAAGGGACCTTAAAGCCCATCCAGTGCCACCCCCTGCCATGGGCAGGGACACCTCCCACTAGCCCAGGTTGCCCAAAGCCTCATCCAGCCTGGCCTTGAGCCCCTCCAGGGATGGGGCATCCACAGCTTCTCTGGGCAACCTGGGCCACTGCCTCACCCCCCGCACAGGAAAACATTTCTTCCTCACATCTCATCTCCATCTCCCCTCTTGCAGCTTCAAACCGTTCCCCCTCGTCCTGTCCCTGCACCCCCTGATCCAGAGCCCCCCATCTCTCCTGTAGCCCCCTTTCAGCACTGGAAGCTGCTGGAAGGTCTCCCCGGAGCCTTCTCTTCTCCAGGCTGCACACCCCCAACTCTCTCAGCCTGTCCTCTCACGGGAGCTGCTCCAGCCCTCGGACCATCAAATCAGGAGATCTCATGCCTTACCTGCTTTGAAGATCCACTCCAAGTATCCATTTAGTTCCCGTTCAATTTGCTGCTGCCTACGGAGTTTCAGGAAAGCTCGACGATTTTCTACCCTCTCTCGTTCTTTGGCAAATTCACTATAGAGAGAGAAGAATGGGAAAGCACAGGTCACAAGTGGTCAGGAAAAATATGCAGCCATTCTATCACCTTTCAGATTGTATTCACAAAGCCTGTGAAGTCGATGGCAGCAGTAGTGAGTGGAATCCACAGCACGGTACATGTTGTTGTCCAACAAACTACTACTTTGATTGCAGCTTGGCTGTTTCTCTGCCTCTCTCATCCTGAAAGATGACTGCAAACTGCCACATGCATACTTTTTTTGTTCTGGGGCCACACCATATCCATTGCAATGAGATCCTGATGCACAACCACCTTAACACTGAATACTGCCCTCCATCCCTCTCCATGCCGCTCACCCCACAGCAGAGCTTCCTCTTGAAGCACAATATTATATCACAGAGGCACCAGCAGTCTTTTGGCTTTGGAAGAGATCTACTCTTCTCTGTTAGCCTTTCTTTTGAGTTTTCCCAGGTTTAAGCAACTTTGACAAACACAAGACAAATGAGCTACGAGTGAGGATGGATACTCTGGAGTTAAGGTGAAATAGTCCAGATGCTCTGAGCTGAGGGCAGCAATGATCCTGTGGTTTGCTAAGATCACACGGAAAGCAAGTCTCTTGACATCAAATCACTAGAACAAGACTGCACAGGGGAGTCAGAAAATTATTCATCCAACCATTGCAAAAATCTTGTTCAAGCACATCCTACTGCCTGGTTTGAGATGATGCTGAGACAATAGCGCAGCCAGCATCCCCCAGTCACCCATGCTGGGGCTCTCCCCAGGCTAACTCCTGTCACCACTGGGAAGCCCGTGATGCCACACCTGGAGATGTACGTGCCCATCTGCCACTTACCAGCCTCTGCCACCCCTCGCTCTGAGCACACACGCAGTGACTCCCACAACAGCATCATCTGTATGGTTCAATGGGGGATCGGGCTCCTGTGCCTCCTGTATACCAGTGGTTTACTCATTCTCTCATTTTAGATCTTAACTCTGCCACGTCCTTCAAATCTTCCATTAATTGTTGCAAACCTGTAGCTAACCACTGTTCTGGACTAAAATCTCACCTGTCCATTACCCACACATGCTCCTCGAAAGCCAGGAAGAAGCAGGAGATGGGAGGAAGGCAGAAGAATGGGGGGGAAAGGAGCTGAGTGCCACAGGCAGCTTTATATTCACAGTCTCCACTTCACCCTTCAAAGCTGATGCTTTTGCTTCATTTGGCAGGACTGACCCGCGGAGAAGGGACTGCGGGGAGAACTTGGCTCAGCCCCGCGACACACACCGGTACCAGCCACTGACGTGAGAGCTGCCAGCAGCTGAGGCGTTGTCGTGATTTTGGCAGCGCATCCCTGTCTCCTGACTCCGCTCTCCTGTCCCCACCTGACAGCGCAGCCCTTGACCCCATCCTTGAGATGGAGGAAGCCAAAACACAGCTCTGAACTGACAGCTCCTCCTTGGCATTCGGCACACGTCTGCCGGCTGATTCGGGACCCTGCACGTGTCAGCTGGATCGCCCCTTTTCTCCCTCTTCCTTTTTAATGTTCTCATTTCTGGTTCAGTGCCTGCTGCTTGGGGCCACAGACCTCCTCTCAGTTTTGATTTCTCTCTGGAGAGGGAGGAATGAGATCAGACAGCACAAGGTGACAACATGCATTTCAATTGCCAGACATGGAGGGGACACGCTTCCGCCGTTACAGACTCACATCACCACAAAGTTCCCAGAGCTGAGCTGTGCCGGATGGGAGCAGGAGAAAACACCCAGTGGGGAGCTTCATGAAGGACCGCGGTGGGCAGGAAGGACAGCAGGTGAGCCGTGGCACCGCTCCCTCGCCCCTCAGGAGCAGGCAAGGGAGAGCTTTCCTTGCAAAGCCTTTCATCCTCTGCCAGCTCCTCTCTGGCCCAATGAAAAGAAAAGCTTCCTAGGACGTGTCCCTTTAATCTCAACATTAAACACGTAAGAAAATGAGGAAGAAGCTGTGCTAAGTTGCAAACCTTCATCACTTTCTGAAGGTTTCTTGCAAGCTTTTCTCAAGGCACCAATGACGAACGTTGCCGAGGTTAAAGCCACCTGCACCCTCCTGCTCCCCGCAGCCGGCAGGTTTGGCATTGCCATAGGCACTGGGAAGGTGACTTCCAGGAGCAGACAGTACCTTGGGTCTCTGCTCAGCGAGTACCTTCTGAGTGCTACAGAGCTGCAGCAAAATCATCCATGTTAAAAGACTGGAGGGTCTTCATACATGGTCTTTCTGGTGGAGGAAGGCATCACTTGGTCTCTTCTATCTCTCCAGGAGATAGGAACGGTTTGATGAAGCTGGAACTTGACAAAAGATTGTGTTTTTCTCTATGAACTGTATTAATAAAAGCATGTGTCTCTCTCTTACACTACGTTCAGCATCATTCAGGAACTGAAATATTCGCCATTAGCAGCAACTGGAAAACTCCCAGAATTTCTGTTTGAGAGATTTTCAACAAAATTTCAGAACATATTCAAAGAAAAGGGGAAAAATTTCTACCAAAAATCCCATATTTCCTCTAAAAACATTTCAGCTGAGGTTTTCCTGCCAGTTCCAAATGAAAACACAAGAAGTCCCATGGGAAGGTTTGGTAGCAGTAAATAAGTTCCATCTTTTATTCAGCATAATTACTATTTATGCCACTGACTTGCAAAAATCTCACAAATCACAAGAAACAAAACCTAAGCAGGAAAAATGCTGCCTCCTGCCCAGCTTTACCTCCAGGACTTTCTTCACACTTTGGCCAACTCCAGAATGAGGAAGATTGGAAGACACTCACCCATTCTCATCCTTGGCTCTTGTCAACCACCATATGCCCCAAAAGCCCCCCGAAAGATTCATTTTCAGCACTGTTTGGGGAGGCATTAAGAGGAGGAAAGCTGAAAGGTCGGTACTCCTACACACAGCACATCAAGAGGAGATGCTGCTTTGGAGGAAGCTGAGCTCTGCCTGGGTAGATGACTACCACGCATTTTAGTTACAGCATGACAGTTGTGAATAACTGATTCTATAGAGACAGCAGGAGCAAACAGAAATCCCAGGAAGGGAATTCATCATGGAAGCCACAGGCCACCCAGTGAAGCTGTATGCGTCACATTTTTCTTCTCAAGAGTGGTCGGTGATTAAAGTCACCGGGAAAATGGATGGTTGCTGCTTATCACCTTGGTGGGTGGAAGAGTAAAATAAATCTCAGCGTAAGCATGCACTGGAATAGCCACTTCAGGGAAGTTCAACAGCCCCCCCCAGCCACAAAAGAGACAAGGTCAACTCATGAGTAACCACCAGGGTCAGTAAAAGATTGTAAACCAATGGAATTCTTACAAGTAATTTATCCATGTTGGTCTTCAATTAAAAATACTGTCACAGCAACCAAAAAGGGAAAAAAAACCCCAAACCCCACAATCTTCACCCAGAGTCTCTCATGAACTCTCCTGTATGACAGCAGAGGGTTGAGATGGAGCATGATGTAACACGCCTCCTGGTCTTGGGTTTCAAGGCACGCTCCCAGGGCCAGCACCAGCACCATTAAACCTCTGCAGTTCAGGTTTTCCGCTTAGAAGGCAGACAGAAACTCTTCCCACTCCCAGGGGAGAGGCAGAGAGAGAGGTGATCTAGCATCACCGTCACTGCTACCACTAATAGTGCTGATGATTAGCAACTCGTGGTAACAACATCGGTAATTAGCTCCTCATTCAGAACAACACCCCTGAGCTACATGTGATTTCATGACAGCTCCAGATCTTAAAATGAGAGAACAGCCTTCGTCTACCGATTCACTGAGCACTGTTCAGAGTGCGCAGACAGAAGCACAGATCTCAGGACTCCCCCAAGAACTCCCAGAAAGCAGCTGTAAAGGACTTCTTGAATTTTAAGTCTAAAACAAAAAAAAAAAAAACAATCAGTTTTAGGATTGGCTTCATCTCCAGTCCAAGTACGTCAAAGGAATGATTAAAGTTGTGCCTGGATGGCACGTGACATCTAGGGACACAGTGCTGCCTGGAGGAGCGCAGCCCTTGGGAATGGAGAGGAGCCAGGGAATTCAAGTGGGAGAGCTGCTGGCGAAGGATGCAGATGTTTGACCGAGTTACTCACAAGCCAAAACGAATTCTCCAGGTGGAGAAACAAAATTGGCCAAGACAGGAGGCTTAATTTGTAAGCTTTGTTGCTTGAGCGTGGAGCAGTGCCCAAGAAGAGACTTGATACTTCTCAGCAGCCTGTTAAACAGCCCACGTCACTCCAGGGCAGGGAGGGACAGGCTGGAGGTAGAAGATGGAAAACAGCAACGCCTCTGGCTGCCTGACACGCACGTAGGAGGAGCACCACTGCGGGAAACACGTGCCAGAAGAGTGGTACAAAATCACAAGTGTTGTGCTACTCAGGGACTGCCTGGATGAGGAGAGTTGAAGTGTTAAATGTTCCTCTCGATCTCAGTCCATAGATTTTGCAATCACGAAGGAAGGAACCTCAAAAGAAACTTGGTGCCAATTACCCACCTGACCTTCAGTGAGCCTTCAGCACGAGCAACACTGAGGCAGGAATTCCATAAGAGGCTGCAAAGGGGCCGCAGATATAAGAACATGCACTCATAGGACCCCAGACATATGAACGTGCTGGATGATAAAAGAGGCAAGATGAATGCAATACTATCTGTATTTCTGAACAAAACCAAGTCTCTCATGCTCTTGGCAGGCTGCAGCCACTTGCTCAGGGGCTGCACATCACTTACGAGACCCTCCAGAGTGTCTTGGGTAGCTTCCCAGCACAGGGACCTCCAAGCCTCTGGGCATCTTGAGAGCATCCACACACAAGCAGAAACATTTAATTGCTTTTTAATGGTGGAAGTCCATTTCTTACCTTTTATTTTGGTTAATCAACTGTGAGAAGGAAATAAGAGAAGGAGCCTTCAGTTAGTTTTTCCCTTCCCTCTCAGGTCTCTGTTTCTGACACTGGGGTTTGCCACCTTACCCTAATCCAGCCAAATCCCGACTGCTTGGGTGAAG